TTGACTTGATTATTAACACTGTGACGAATAGACGGCTGGGGACATAGTATACAAGAAGATTGGGACCTGTGCAGAGAAGATGTCAAAGGGACTCATTTTCCAAAAGTTAGTCTGGGACAGGTAGGGGAGGGGGAAGAAGGAGTGAACAGAAGGGCACAGAGAAGCTGGAGGGGAAAGGAGAAGGGGTGGGGGAGGGAGAGCAAAGGAGGAAGTTGGGAAGAGGAGGTGGGGGAGAGGAGGGGAGGAGGATAAGGAAGCAGGAGAGAGTCAGGGGAGACCAGTGACATTTGCTTAGCATTCATTAGATTCCAGGCAGTGTGCTTTCACATAAATTACTTCATTCAACCTTCACAATGTTCTGCAAGTTAGATACCTTTCAATCTCCAATTTTTAGATGAAGAAATCGAGACTCACAAGTGTTAACTCATCCGGGGTCGCAGAGCAAAGAAAAATGGTTGGAAACAAACACTCGTAGGTGTCCCCCTAAAACTTCTTTCTCAGTATCATGTTTATTTGAAGTACTTGTCTTTGGGTGACCTGAAAGAAGGAGGCAACGGACAGCGTTTTGAAATAGCCTTTAATTGAGAGGCACGCGTGCTGAGGTTCTGTCTTTATTGATGACGGTGACCTAGGGTGGGCTATGTTTGGAGTATCATAGAATTCTATAGTAAATTCTATGATCTAACTTACATACTCCATGAGAAGATCAATGTTATAATCTTGACATTAGTGATTCTAGTCCACTCAAGGCCCTTCCACAGCAATTCTCATTTTTCTTTGTACTTTTTTTTTTTTTTAAAAAACTTTATTTTTTGAAAGTATTACATATGTTCCCCTTTTCCCCTCATTGTCCCCTCCCAGCCCTGGCTTTCAACACAGACAATAGGGGGGCAATTGTTATTTTTAAACTAAATAGTTGGCTTGCTTCATATCCAAATAGGATTCCTCCCTATCTCTGAAGAAATGATCAGATTATGAGACTTCAGCAGGCACTTTTTTTTTTTTCCTTCTAGAAAATCTGAATAAAACAAGACAGAGACCTACAATAAACAAGAGGTACTTGTAGAGGGCACATAGTAGGTACTTGACCATTATTAGTGGAAATAATGAATAAATGTTGGAAGGTTTCTTGGAGAAAGTGACCAATAATTTTTATGAAAAAAATCATTGATGTGTTAGCAACTGTAAAGAAATAGAATTGCACACAATTGTCAGTTTGAATTGGTTTGATTCTAGTGGGCCCACCTCCCAACTAGGTGATGATTACATTATCGAAGGGATGATTACACTACTTAGGATAGTGTTTCTGGGGTATGTTTCCGGTAACATCCATATCAGAACCCAGCTCACATCATGGAGGTCAGGACCCTGAAATCTCTACTTCATTAAGATCCCCTGAAAATACATTATTCAAACTAGAGCTTGAGACTACTGATACGGGGGTTAACCCCGCCTAACTACTAATATAATTATAGGCCGAGGGATGTCTTTTATAGAATGTAGATGCTAGTCCATTTATGTATAAATTAGCTAGGACTCAGTCTTGTCCTACTATAGATTGTAGACCAACATTTCCTAATCTTTAGTGTATCTGAGTCATCCCAGGAATGTGGTACATGGGAGAGACCCAGGCCCCACCCAAAGGGGCTAGGCTGTTGCCAGATTTCCCATAGTTTAAACAAGTACCCGTGTGATTCTGAAGCAGGTATTCTGGAAAACAATATTCCTCTCAAAGAGTTATTTATCTCTGAAAGGATACCTTGTTATTTTATACCAATGCTCAAGGCAATCAACTTCATTTATAAGTAGCTTTAATTGCCAGAAACTTCTTCCTATGTTGAATTAAAATAAAGTCTTATATAATGTTAGTTTGGTACTCTTAATTAGAACTACACAGAAGACTTTAGTCCCCCATATTATTTTTAAGAAAATATACTTGACCAAAAAAATACACTAAGTGCTTCTGTTCCCTCTGGGATGGCCCCTGCGTGGCTCCTTCAGCTAGCATGGGTAGATGAGGAAAACGAGAGCACAGGGCTCTAGAAAAGCATCCCTGATCAGAAGACAAGGGGCTTGCATAGCAACATTGGTTAGAAAACCAAACATCTAGAACAGCTTGGGATTCTCATTTCCTAGAATAATATCACAACATGCAAAAACAAATAGAAACCCAAAACATGTCATTCTAAGCTGCCTACGATAAGGGGGAGTCTTGTTTGTCAGAATAATGATGAGAGAAAAGACCAAGGAAGAGGAGGCATGGCTGATTCAGATAAGGCAGGAACCCTCCTGTAAGAAAAATGTGGGAACCCTTTCTTCTCCCAGGGGCTCCCTCATTCTCATCCCGTTACAGATGGACCCGGGGTAGGGAGCTGGTTCTTAACACCCGCTAACATCAGTTGTGTGGAATAGATACAGCGAAGGTGACTGGCTGGAAAAATGTGGGCATGTTTCTAGGTATCTCACTGGTCTCCCCCAAATCATCAGAGCTGCACTAATTTACCCTGTTTGTATGCTTACTTAAAAAAAATAAAGCAAATATTTTATTTGCAGATTTCAGAAGAAATTAATTTCAAAAGTCAGCAAGAATGAGGAAGGAGTACCCAGAATGGCCATGCGGGGATTGGGTCTATCACTTAAAACAATGTGATGAGGCAAGTTAAAAAAAATCCCTGAGCTAATTATTCATTTACAAAATAAAGATGAATCATAACAAGTAGCTTTTAGCATTGTTTGATGATTATATGTGGAAGCATGTTAGTTCCTAAACATTTGGTATGCTGTCAGTATTTAAAAAACAGAATGTCAGTCATTATTAGTAGCATTATTGTAGTTGCTGGTTTTCCAGGAGGCTATTTTACCATCCAACACTAGTGAATTCTTTCTGAATGGTACTTCAAATGATGACAAAGGTCAGGGAGCAAAATAGGGAATACAAATGATTATATTAGACCCGTGGTCTAATTAAACTACGGCTCTCGAGCCACATATGGCTCCTTGGCCTCTTGAGTGTGGCTCTTCCACAAAATACCATGGCCTAGGAGAGTCTATTTTAAAGAAGTGGTGTTAAAAGAAGTTTAAATTTAAAAAATTTGGCTCTCAAAAAAAAAAAATCAATCGTTGTACTGTTGATATTTGGCTCTGTTGACTAATGAGTTTGCATTAGACTGTTCCCTTTGCCTCAATTTTCCCATTCACTTAAGAAGGGAGAGATTCAATATGGAAGTGGGAGAGTAGAAAGCATTGATTTTTGAGTGACCTGCCTCATATACATGTTCTGTTTCCACATTTTCTTTTCTTCTGTTATTCTAGCCTATTTTAGGTTATAAGATTCACACATCAGAAGTCTTGCTTGTTTAGATGTTTTTAATGACACAATTCTCGGATTGCTGATTCTCTATGGTGGGAAATAAGAACAGGGGGACTCCAGAATGTGAATTCAATAGGTTTTCTAAGAACGTCTGGGATGATTGGGTCCTAAATGTTCTTAAACATAAAATAAAATTTAAAAGAAGGCGTTTAAATCCTTACTAAGCCAGCATCTGAATTTGTGTGCTGGTTGAGATGTAGGGGAGGTGGTGGTGGTGGGAGGAGGGAGGGTGCAGGGAGCATTATACGTTCCAGACTTTCTCCAGCCTCCTTGCTGTGTAATCTCTGGGACTTTCTTTCTCTCTCTCCCTAAATGAGAAGGAAAACACCTGCTCCACTTCACTTAGAGCATTGTTGAGAGCTTTAAAAAAAAATTAAAGTGCTGATCCCATGCAAGTTGGCATTTCCCTCACAAATCACAAATCAGAAGTCTTGGCTCAATTTTGGAATTTGCACTCGTCTGCAACCTCTCCTGAAGGGACAGCACAGGGAGACACCCAAGGTCTTCTCCCTCATTTTGAGGCCAAAACGGCCCAATGTAGTTGTGATTTCATATCCCACAGACTGCCTTTGGGTTCCTGTACAACCAAGTGTAAATGCCTAGAGAAGGGGCATTTATACTGGCACCGGGAGCAGCCTCTAGTCAGCAGAATAGGTGGAGCCCCTACCATGGGCTGGAGCTTGTGTACTTGACACTGAGTCCATGCTTTCATTTCATTTCACCAAGTGCATGGTAGTGATTTCAGAGCAGGGAGCCGGGGAAGTGAGATCTCTAATGAGAAGGTCTGACCTCGCTTTTCTCTCATCATCCAGAAGCGTAAGGATACATTTGTGGCGAACAGCATGCAGATAAAAGGGGGCGAGGGGTGCCTTTTGAAACTACATCCTCTTAATCATAAATAATTTTTGATCTACTATACATAGCAGTAGTGCATTTCTTGTTAAAATGGCAAGCTTTTTTTTTTTTTAATACCAAAATGAAAACATTCATTTCTTTATAAATAGTTTAAATAGATTAAATACATATTTCATACCAAGGATATAAAAATAGGCTCTCTCTTGTTTTGATAAATAAAGACATCATCATTTACATGGCAAATAACGTGCAATAGCTAACCACTGGCCACCAGCTCTACTTGACTGATTGTCTAGGAGATGACATGCAGTGATGTTTGTCCCTTTGCCTTCACAAAAAAAGGAAAATAGGTCAGCAGGAGCTGCGCGCCACTGCAGGCCAACAGTGCTACGGATATTGTTCAAGGATGACAAACAGACGCTTGGGAGGAACCTTTGCTTGCCCTTCACAAAAGCCACCTGGGACACGACGAGTCCACACGTTCTTTGTCCGGGACTTCTAGCTGCTCAGGGCCTTTGCATTTTTACCAAAGTCCGTCAAACAGACCGGTAAGCTAATACCTGTCCAGGAAAAGTGATCCTCTTGTGTGTCTAGGATCTAGAAAGCGGCTATGGTGGTGCCTGTGCCTGTGCCTTGCCCTGGCCCCTCGGCTGGCTCTCTTTCACAGGACTCCCTGCTCTGCTAGGTCCTCACGTCTGCCAGAGGCACAAAAGGCAGCCAAAGCAGCCATGCACTGGCGGGTTGGAAGTTGGCAGCTGCCTCCCGGGCACTAAGGTCATACGTTGATGGCTTTGTTATCTTTCACGTCGGCGGCTGTGCTTGTGACGACTTGCAGTGGAAAGTTCTCCAAGGGTTTGGTAGAGATGGGTGTCAGTCCTTCCCGGTCCCAAGACCCTGGCAGGTTCTCCAGGCTGAAGGAGCTCACAGCTCCCTGGCCGAAGCTGCCCGCCTCCGACCTGCTTGGGAGAACCAGGTGCAGGGACGTTTCGGAGGAGGAGCAGACAGAGGACGAGAGAGTCGCCGAAATGGACTGCAGAGGCGTCAGCGTTGAATCAGACTGCGGGGAGACGCACCTTAGAAATTGCAAATGACCTTCCTGGACCACCGGGTAGCGGGCGGGTGGAAAATCAAGGTTTGGAGAAGGATCGAGGTCACTGCCTGCAGGGTTTGGCTCTGGAGCTCCAGTTCGCTGGGGGCTGGTCTCCACGGAGGAGGGATCCACACTCCAAATGTCCGAGGTGACATTCGCGTGACAACGTTGTTCTTGGGTGGAGGCAGCCCCGCCTGCTTGCAAGTGCAGGCAGGGTTGGTGGGCGCTCCAGGCCATCCTGCTCTGGAAGCCGTCCCTGGAGGGGTGCCCAGAGGCGGTGTGCAGAGAGCAAAACCGTGCGGGCTGCCGGGGTGGCAGAATGTTTTCTAGAAGTTGCATCACACTCCTCATGTCTTTCCCTAACTGGGAGACCTCCTGAGCCAGTGTTGTTACCTGTTTGGATAAAGCAAAGCAAAGGCAATAGTGAGAAGTGCATGGTAGTGATTTCAGAGCAGTGAGGCAGGGAAGTGAGATCTCTAGTAAGAAGGTCTGAGAGGCTGCTCGACCTCCATGCCAGTCAAGCCCAAAGGCTGAAGGGGAAACAGAGAGAACCTGACCTAAAGCCATCCTCATTCTGAGGGAACTTAGAGAGACATAGCCTGACATTCTTGATCCATGTTTCTGGGGTTCTTGAAAAACATTTGAAATGTGGGCCCATCATCTCTTGTGTCTCTTATTAAAAAAAATGTTTTTATTGATTTCAGGGAGAGGCAGGGAGAGAAAGAGAGAAACATTAGAGAGAATGATTAATCAGCTGCCTCTTACACACCCCTGACTGGGAGTTGAGCCTGCAACCTGGGCATGTGCCCTAGCCAGGAATCGAACTGTGACCTTCTGGCTCATGGGTTGACGCTGCACCACTGAGCCCCACCCAACTGTACCTGTATCTCTTAGATACTGATAGTATCTTGTACCTTCTCTGAGTTATTGGGTGCACAGAGGTTCACACTAATTTCCTCAGACACCTCACAACATGTTGAGTGAGGGGCACTGCATGTAAAGCACTCTGCACACCACCTTCCAGAGCGGACTGTGAATGAATGCTCCCTTGGGTCCTTTCTGATCAAGATCTATGATCATGATAGATCCAGTGACAAACCGCCTTCAGTGATGATGTGGGCGGTGAGCAAGAACCCAACCAGATGTGCCAGGGAGGGAGTCTGTGGAAAAAGGGAAAGCTGCAAAATGTGAGAAAGAAATAGACCTTCAAGGTAGGTGAGTTAACAACTATGTGTGCTGGGATCCATCTGTGAGCCCAGGACCTCGTGAAATTACAACTCAAATTGTGTGGTATGGGCTTACATTCACTTTTCCAGGTTAGACATTAACTTTTACGAAGAGTTCGAAAGGACACATGATTTTTGAACAATTAAGAACCACTGAAGAGTCTTCATTATTCATTTTACACTAAAAAGCAATAATAAAATTCACTGTTATTTTTCTAACAACCACATGACTTTTTTAAGCATGAAGACCACCAGAAGTTTGAATTGGATTTAAATCCTGGAGAGTTTATATTCCACAATGTGGAGGACCTGTATTTCAGAAAGCAGGGCATGGATATATATATTTTTTTTCTAGTCTGTGGTTAGATTCATAACATTGACACCTTTTATAAAGTATTTTCTCTCTGAGTTGATTTTACTATCACGAACCACAAAACTCCAATATAAGCAACTGGACCCAATGGATGAATACCATCGGAAAACAAAATAAACCAAATGAGCAGTTCAATTTCAACGATGCCAAAACCAAGATTGTTTTGGGCAGACTTTTTAAGTAGACATTCCTAGTTTATCCAGTAACTTAATTCAGTCCACTTCCTCTGAATGGATTCTGAAACTAATTCTTCCTGGCAGGCTCATCAGGAGGTAGTGCCTCTCAAAGCAGGCATTTAAAAAAAGACCAGAAGGAGGATCTTCCATGGTTCAGGCAACCCACTGGCAACACCTGCCTTGAAATTGCCAGGCCAAAACTATTTCTGCCTTGCTGCTGGCATGGAACTTGAGGGACCCAATGGAATACTTGTCCAGGCTTTTCAGCGGATCTAAAACTTCTGGCAACAAAGAGATACCTCTCAACCTCACAGTTAAGAAGTGAGACAGTAAGTGTGAGAACAATTCTATGTGTTTTGAAATGTCCATTGCAGGTGGTCAATTTCATACCTGGCCAAGTCTCAATCCTAAAGTGTATGGACCAGGCTTAAATCAGTGTCTGGATCTCAGCACTGTAGAGTTGCACTCTTGGGTTCTATCCTGAATTGATTAGCTTTTCTATCAATATTTCAGAGGAAAAGACTGACAATGAGATGTTGGAAGGGACATAATAACCATTCTTTCCTGTAGGCTAAGTTTAATTCCTGTACCACATTCACTGGGGCTGTATAAGCTCAGACCCCCCTTCACCCCCCAAAAATGCTTTTGATCAGCCTTTTATGTAGATTGAATAAAGACAGTCTTTGAAGAACAATTTGCATTTTAGATACATCAATGATTATGTTGTTTAATAAATGTTTGAGTAAATTGATAATACATCCTGCTTTCAAATATATTTTCTCTATCAGATCTATAAATAGTTGATAGGGGTATATTATTATTATCCCACTTGTGAGATGGGGACACTAAGATCCAGAGGTTAAATGTCATTTTTAAGGTCCTTTATTGGTTGAGTGACAGTCTTTGGTTTACAATTCAAGACATGTAAGTTTGGTGCTCTTTCTGTTAATAGTACATTATACATGGAAAAAGACAATGTGGTGAGAATTTGTGAAGAGCATAGATGATACAAAAAAGTAGCCCCATGTATAAAAGCTGCCAGAAATGTTAATTCAACATCAAGTAAGTAAATAGTGTCATCTCTAAAAACCCTAGGCATCTGAACAGTAAGAGCTCTTCACAGCAAATTATATGAATGCAACAACAACAAAAAGGGTTTGTTATAAAGAAAAATCTTAAACCAAACAATAGGTTTTTTTCCTTTTTAAATATGCTTTTTTTGATCTTGAGAGAGAGAGAGAGAGAGAGAGAGAGAGAGAGAGAGAGAGAGAGGAAGAGCAAGGAATAGAGAGAAACATTGATGAGAGAGAAACATTATCTATTAGCTGCCTCCTGCACATCTCCTACAGGGAATTAAGCCCCACAACCTGTGCATGTGTCCTGACTGGAAATCGAACCGGTGACTCCTTGGTTCATAGGTTGATGCTCAACCACTGAGCCACACTGACTGAGCTAGATAGATTTTTTGATGAACTACATTTCAAGCGTCTAAAACGCCCAGATATTTCCCTATGGTTGATATACCTTTGCGTGGCCATGTTCTTGACATCTAACTTTTCTTGTGCCTTTGCCACAACTTTGAGGCCATGAACGTTGAATGGGAATCCAGAGTCTTAACTGGCTCCCGGAATGTAAATAAGCATTAACATTTTCAGAAAACAAAATTGCTATTTTAGCTCGCACTAAAAGAAGCCAAGAACCCAAGGAAACGGAGCTTTCTTTAGCTCTAGGGGGTAACGATCATTTACGTTAGTGAAGATTCCTGTTGTCGTGTCACTGGGGACCCACCCCTGCCCTTATTAAAGTTACACGAGGAAACGAATCCCTGATAGCTAAGGGTTCTCTCCCTTCTCAGGACAAAGCCAGCTGTCACAGGAGAGATGGCATCTCCTGGAGGTGGAGACTCCAGTGACACTCAAGGTGACAACATACTGCCACCGGGAATTGCTGTGAAGTTTCATTGTACTTTTGTTTACTGCTTCCCGCCAGGCTTGCTAAAAAAAAATTCATTCTGAAACAGGAAAAACCTTGGTCATCATCAAATATAGAAAACCAAGAAGGCAGCATCTCTACTTGTATGTATGCTGGGGAGGCGAACTGCTTTTTCACAGCACAGTCAGAAGATACACGTTTGCTAAAAAAAAGGCTGTTGAGGCTACTTTGTGAACAAGGCTCCATCCACTCAAGGAGAAATGTCTTCAGAATACAACTTAAAGCCATGGTACTGTGGAGTTAGTTCATTAAAAACAAAAACAGCCCAGCTGGTATAGCTCAGTGGTTGAATGTCGACCTATGAACCAGAAAGTCAAGATTCGATTCCTGGTCAGGGCCTGTGCCCAGTTGTGGGCTCGATCCCCAGTGTGGGATGTGCAGGAGGCAGCCAGTCAATGATTCTCTCATCATTGATGCTTCTATCTCTCACCCTCTTCCTTTCTCTCTAAAACCAGTAAAAATATAATTAAAAACACACATACACAAACATCCTTCAGATCAAATGAACCAAAGTTTTCCTACCTAACAGTTTTTTAAATCTATAAATGTTTTCTGACACTCATATTAGAAAGTACAATTTATTAGCAGATATTATAAGGCCCTTCACAAGCCTCACTTCATTTTTTAGGGGCCCCATTTCCTACATTTTTCCATCAGAAATGACTACAGTGGGAGTCTCAGCTCCCTGTTATTGCATGTGTTGCTCTCTCTGGGTGCTTTCGGTCCATTTCTGTTGGGTAAGTTTTTTCTCTCTCTCCAAACTTTTTTTTTTTAATATATCTATTAATTTCAGAAAAGAAGGGAGAGGGAAAGAGAGATAGAAACATCAATAATGATAGAAAACCATTTGTTGGCTGTCTCCTGCATGTATCCCACTGGGGATCAAGCCCACAACACAGACATGTGCCCTTGACCAGAATCCAATATGGGGCCCTTCAGTCCACAGGCTGGTGCTCTGTCCATTGAGCCATTGAGAGCTGGTGCTCTCTCTCCAAACTTTTAATCCCTTATCTTCTTTGCAGAGTTTTTTCCTGGCAACTCATTGATACAGAGCAATTTGAGCATCATATAGGACTATGTGTCCCTAATGAGGCTATGAGTTTTTTGAGGATAAATTGTTATTTATCTCAGATCTCCTGGATGCTGAGCAATGCCTAGTCCTATATGATGGGTCCTAGATCTCCTGGATGCCTAGTCCTAGATCTCCTGGATGCTGAGCAATGCACCCAGTAACTCTCAAATGCATAAATTAATTCTATTTCTGCCACTTTGAATACCTGGTCCTCATACGGCCTTTGATTTTGTACTTAGTTTATCTCATGATTTTACCATAAATTATCCTAGGGCAGTGGTTGGCAAACTCATTAGTCAAGAGAGACAAATATCAACAGTACAATGACTGAAATTTCTTTTGAGAGCCAAAAATTTTAAACTTAAACTTCTAATGCCACTTCTTCAAAATAGACTCGCCCAGGCTGTGGTATTTTTTGGAAGAGCCACACTCAAGGGACCAAAGAGCCGTGTGTGGCTCGCAAGCTGCAGTTTGCCGACCACAGTCCTAGGGGAAAGCTGACTACTATAAAATTATATTGGGATATCTGTCGTTGACCCTTTCTTTCAAGTAAG